ATTTCCATATGAGACCCATATAAAGGCCAATAGGTAGCATTCTACCTGTAAGGCATGGCCCCTGTGCTAGAGTTCCCAACTATCTGATCCCAACCCAGCCCATCTGGTTTGTGTACTTTTACTGTTCAACTTTTTCTGAATCTTTCTTGCTTCTTGGTTCTTGTCTTATCAAGACACAGCAGAGACGAAGTTGGTAATTTTCAAAAGGAATTTTTTAATGAACACAGAGGAAAATAATGCAAGCACATCTATGTAGAAATAAAATTTCTAGAGTCTTCTTTAACCAGAGTTTAGCTACACATTGGATGGACTGGATAAACATGAAACTGTCCAGCTCTTTTTATTGCCACAACATTGTCTGGGTTTTCTAGTTGAAAATGGGTAATAAACATATTTAAATGTTGTGAGATTTAATTTTAATTGATACCAATTCTAGGAACTTCTAACAAATACTTCACATCTCCCTGTGCTTCCTAGAATTACCTCCAGACATGGACTCCAAGCTCCCAGGCTGTCCGTCTATGGCCTCAAGCCCTGCTTCAACCTTCTTCTGCACCTTGCCTACTTCTCTCTGGCCATTCCTGGCCCACACCCCTAGATAAGAAGGTACTTCACAGTGTGTCCTCAAAGACTCTTTTTCTGAAATCAGAGTATCTTGCACAACCTGCCACATCCTTGTTCTGTTGCTCTGCTCTTACTCATTCTGCCACTAGGTACCTAAAACCCTACCTCTCCAATTCCATTTGTAAACCACCATATTTTCTTCTTTCTTTTCCTCCTCCTCCTATCATTACTGTTGCTAATTTTAGGGTGGATTTCATTCACTGGGGTATTCAGTAAGCAATGAGCCCCTTCTGGGTTTGAGGTGATGTGCTCCATTTATTCTCATACCTCTTGTCCTCTCATTATGCAGGTCCTTTGAATGACAGAATGCCGACATTGTAGAACTCAATTTTTACAATTTTACAAAACTTCCAAATTTTAAGCATACAATTAGAAAATAAAGAATTTCTATCAAAAATTTTTGAATGTACAGTCTTTCAAAGGAACTATCTGAGAACAACAGAGTAACCATTCACCTACATCCTAAGTTTTTCCTGTTGTTTGCCTATGCCTGACAAGAAGAATAAACAGAGAATTAAGGCTCTAGGACTGCTCTTTCTACTTAGAAGGTAGTTATGGAAGTGGGTTTTAACCATTCCCAGTGTGACTTTTAACTGACTGGGCCCTGAACACAGACAGCCCGGGAGAAGCTCTCACAAGTCATGGACTTGAATGCTCACAGTTGCCTCCCTCAGCTCCACAGCTTTTCTGGCCTCACCCTCAGGAGCAGTAGACAGGGGCTGTAGCTTCTCTCAGAGCCTCCCTGAATGTATGGAGGAGCAAAGAAAATAAGGCACCATAAGTTTGAAAATAACTGGCCATGCTGCAATGGGAAACCAATTCTGAACTCTCTTTCCAAAATGAAAAGGGGCCCATAGAGTGCTTTAAAATGCAGTTGATTCTCATTATTTCCAGAAGTTATGTTATATAAAGTAATTGACTTATTCAAGTCAATACTGAAACTTTGCTCCCAGTAGAGGTGTAGAGTTAGGTTCCTGTGAGCTTCTGGTCACAATATTTTCATCAACCAATTGATACGTAACCTTGCTTTATGTGTGTTTCTGTTTAAAAAATACCTTATTTAATATATACTGTTGATTCAGACTGAACTCACCGTCAACACTGTTACTCATGCCTAAATGAATTCATCTAATACATATATTTTTTCCATAAGGCATGCCATAGCTTTCTTGTGCTTAGAAATACTACACACCACTTCAACACCATACTTGGGTGGCATTTTAAACAGTTAAATCACCAAAATAAACCACAAAAACTGTGACAGTTGTGGCACCAAATGGACTACAAACAGGACATTTGTTTATAGTATGAAAATTGAAATAAGAAGGTAGAGTGTTGCCTTGTTTGACCTCAGCTGGGAATCTGCTTTGGGTGACTCAGATTTTTCATTGCTATACAGTGTCTGCAAATGACTGGGAAAGTGCCTTAAGGGGTTACAGACAAACTTTACTGTGTACATGAATTTGCAGAAATAGAATTCCCATATAATGAGGACCAACAATACGTATTTGCATGGAAGAATGCATTGGACATAGGTTTAATAACTGATTGAGCAGATGTAATGGTATTCAATTGAATGTTGAGAAAATTAAGATGCAGAAATTTCAAGTAGCTTGTTCAAATCACACTATGACTAAATGCTAGAGTTGAATTGTAAAGATTTAATTCAAAGTCCTCCAAAGTCCTAATGCTTAAGTGCTATATTATATTCCTTCTCATGGAAAGTAAATATTAAGTTTTAGAATGTTGGTATTTAAGTAATAAAAGGCATTATTTTGAAATTTATATAGTAAGAAGAAATTACGACGCATTTGAATATAATGCAGATTAGGCTCTAACCTAATCAACTAAAACATTTAAAAGAAAAAGTATCTTTTATGAACTTTCTTGAGACAATTAACAAGAGAAATACCAAGTGGCTGCAAATTCTAATTTTTTCTCTTATTTAAGAGAATATTTTAGTAAGAAGGATTCAATTGCAACAGTTAATGAGGTAGATTCAATATTGAGGCTAATAGTAAAGTATATATCTACTTATGCATTTTTCACTGCCATATTTTATGTAATATTAGAGGTAACAACAAAACTGTAGCATAGGACTTTGATGAACTATTTCTTTTGTGCATTTTGTTTACATTATCAAGGTTTTAGAAACATGATAACCTTGGCAGCATTTTTCTTCCTTAAAATTCTAAATAAAATTATGTCTAATATTTGACAGGATTGGAAGAGTGTTATATAATGGTTATATAATGTTTATATAATGGTTCTCCACATGTTATATAATGGTTCTCCTGTCAGAGACCAAAAAGTTTCATAAACACAGCAATGCTCTGTGTTTACAGATCCACAGAAATAATAACATTACATCAGATTTAAAATCCTATTATGAAAGGAATGAAAATTATTCTGTTTCTTCAACCTTTGCAACTATCTTCCCTACTCTAATTGGTATCTAATTAAAACCCAGGAAAAAATACCTTCCAGAGAGTTTCTTGGCTTAAAGCATTTGCGGCATGGCATCAAGCCCAAAAGAATATGAGAAGTCCTATAATTTTGACTCCCAACCCTTTCATTTTATAAATTAGGAAACTGAGGTCCACAAGATGAATTCTTAAGAACCACAGATTTAGTGGCTGAGCTGGGATTAGAATGCAGAGTTCCTGATTTTTAATCTTCTCTTTATTGTGTGCTTTATTGTTTTACCCTGAAGTGGCCACCTGGTCATCCTACTCTGAATGAATATTTACTGTTCCAGATAATGATTTATGAGAACAAACGGATTACGTGGTTATGAATTTCTAGTTTCAATACTCATATTACTGTTAAATTCTTTTTTAATGCTTATATTCTAAACTTGGGTATATTTTTATTATTCTAGTGAGCTAGGTTAATCTTTTGAAAGCTTTGGTTTGATTACTTCAATTTAATTATTAGCCATCTTTTGTAGGGATTGCCTCAAAAACTTCAGAAGCCGCTCTGCACAAACAAATGTATGACTTGATTTCTTTGCTATGTGCCAATTCACCTGTTTATTTGTATTTGTAAAACAAGTGCCATTGGACTTTTCCTTAAAACATTCTCCCCTCCTCAGACATTTTATTCTATTCTCATGAAATTACTTTTGGTAGACATTGGCTGAAATAACTGAAAACTAAAAATTTATTTTGTCTGGAAAAAAATCAAAAGTAAATTTGCCATACTTTGTTTTGAACTAGGGCTTCTCTATTATACCTTGGTAATAAAAACAGATGCAATGAATCTAGATTAATTAAATGAAAATTGCCATGACATGAAACAAATGTACACTGTAGATTAAACACATTCTATAAGTTTCTTGTATCTCCTTAACAAATCTATTATTTTAATCTAACAAGTGAGATTGTAAAGTGTTTGAAAAGTAAATGTGTGCGTTTAAGAAGATAACTAAATAGTGTATGAACTAAGATGATTAAAGCAAATTCACAATTTTCAAAAAAGCAATGAGATGACAGTTTTCCATTCCTTTAAAAGTTTGCTGGAAGACTACTAACTTCTGTTTTGATTCCTTTAATTCTGTTGCTGTAAGTCTTCACCTTACTTCTGATAATGCCATAGCTATCATGTTGGTGTGTAATTTCTATAACATTTTTTTCTCAACTAAGTGCAAAAGTATAAATAACAAACCATCATTCATTTTTCTGTATTTTGTTTTGTTTGACATTGGGATACAGGTTATATTCATCATTTTGTAGTGATATAAAATTAATAATTGTCTTCTAATTGATAGTTAATAATTATGAAAAATCAAACTCTAACACATTGATATAAAAGTTGTAAAATTCAGATGGAAATTTCCACACTGAAGTTGTTTATAAAAGTACTCACCTGTATTTTCTGTTGCAGTTAGTTTTTGAAAGAAAAATTTCATATAGAAATCTAATATAACCCCTCAAGGAATTTCATGTTTATTTCAACTTTAGAAGGAAGCAAACTAGGCAAGGAGGTAGAAGGAAAAATGATTTTATAGATGAACTTACAGAATTTTGTCACTTAGTGTTTGGTTCATGTCTCAGTACATTCAAAATGAGTTATTACAGTGCATTTTTCTTTCATTTCTTTTTCATTTAAGAGGTTGATGTGGCTTTTTAAATTAAATTTACCTTACAATTAAGAGTGGTGCATTAATGCTAGTAAGAATATTAGTTTATATTTATTTTAAGATAGGAAATTGAGGGGAGAAATATTCTAGATTGCTAAAACTATTGATGGTTTCTTACATTAAAAGTCTGGAGTGCTTTATGGGAATTACTTTTAGGGGTAGATTATGTTAGCATTCTTAATGAGATTGCCAATACAATCAAAACGTTACATCCTACTGCTTCTTGTGCTTACAGATAATCATTTCAAAGAACTTCCAACTCTTCTCCACTGTGCAGCAAAATTTGGCTTAAAGAACCTAGCTATTCATTTGCTTCAATGTTCAGGAGCAACCTGGGCTTCTAAGATGAAAAATGTGGAGGGTTCAGACCCCGCACATATTGCTGAAAGGCATGGTCACAAGGAACTCAAGGAAATCTTTGAAGACTTTTCAGTAAGTTTTTTTCTTTATTATATCGCTGTATAGTCTGTTTGATATTGTTGAAGAGACTATAAGGAAAGAAAACCTATTACATTTACTGTTTTGTTTAAGAATCTAGATAAGGCACTATTAGGCATATGAAAATGGATCAATAATTGTTAGGTTGCAGAAAAACAGTTTGATAATAATTCCAAAAGTCTACTCAATGAAAAGTTAATTTATGTTGCTAAATTTTTCTTATGTGATTCCTTTTTTTTCTCCCTGTTAAGTCTCAGTTCTGTTTTACGTAGGCTGAAGCCCCAAATTTCAGAACACTTTTTGAAGAATATTAGTTTTGTAAGAATGTAAACAAAAGAAGATTTTAAAGAGGGAATACTATCGCAGTACATAAAACACCCTTTGTGCTTTCACAATTATGTTTAGAAGAGCAATTGTTTTTCCGTTTATAACAAAGATATACACATTTTGCTCCAGCAAGTGAATTATACTCTGATGGCTCTTAGGAAAATATAATGGACAGTGATTTTGATGCTAAATTATCAAAATTTGTCTTTGGATATTTAAAACAATTTTATTGTCAAATTTTATTCCACATTGTTAATGTAGAGTATATAACTGCTACAAGCTTCTGGTTATTTTAGCATTTACTCTGATTGTCAGATTAGGCCAATCTAATTAATATTGGACTTCAGAAACAATCATTGGTATTTGAGATTTCCAGAGAGTATATTTAAAATAAATACAGACCATGACGTTTCATGATAAAATTAATAAACTACTCATTTTAGTCTTATGTCCTTCAAATGGCAAATAAGTATTATTTGTATTTCTGGAAGAATTTTAAATAGTGATTGTCATATATGCTAGTTTCTAACTAGTTAACATACTTTATCTGATGAGGGCATTTATTTCCATAATTTATCCCCGTACGCAGGCATTAAACAGAGCAGCATGGCATCTATCTCAGGTAAGTCAATAAGTCAATTCAGCCTTGGATATTTTCCATAATACTGTTATTTAATACATGTTAGGTGGCTGTGTTTAACTCTGCACAACTCTATTCTTTAATTTTTAGCCACTGGTACATTGGGTTAAAATTTTTCCTAAAAGCATCTAGAGACGCTTTCTAGGATAATCCCTGATTTTCAAAAAGTGATGCTTCTACTTCTTGCTTTCCAGTAAAGACTCAGCTTTTGACAGATGCAACCCCATGCACACTTCAGGTGCTCCATAAGTAACAAAATACTACATAATGATGACAGTAGATATGACAGTAGGTACAGTGGTAGGAGGTGAAGGTTGATGGATGTGGGATATAATATTTTTTCTCTTACACTCTCTCAGTATTTATACCTCTGATCCTGCAATAACAGCACTGATAGAAGTTGATTGCTATCATTGTCTCTAGATGACATTCACTCTTCCATAGTTGCTGCATTCTAATTTTACAGTTGTACTTGATAACTATCGTGGGAAATTTGTTACATATTTTTCTATCATATCTTTGTAAGCTGTTATTTCTGCCTGAATGTCTATAGTAAATATTACTTTATAGTTAGGATAGATTAATTATTTTGTCAATGTCCTGCCGTCAGTAAGGAATTGACTGGAGCTGTTGAAAGTGCCAACGTATCTGTCAGTGCATTTTCATGACTATGGATAATTTCATATACAATAATTTTGCAAACTACAAAGGCCTTTTTGCAAATGTGTGGTTAAGAAAATGAAACATATGTATTATATTTTGACCCACATGGAAAAATGTTTCCTGTCAATATATATTACACAAAAATTATTCTTCTAATTATCAGTTTTATTTAAAATAAGTTTAGAAGTCGTATCTTATTAGTGAAGGTATGCTGGATAACTGGATGTTGACATTATCTATTCTAAATACTGTTAGTTAAGTCTTTTAAAGGGTGTATATAAACATGATGGAGAAAAATGGAATCTCATTATGCTACTAAAATACTTTATTGTTCCTTTAAAAGTGTCTGTGTCACCTCAATGTTATAATGACTTAGATTATGGTAAATCTAAGATCATCACATGTGCATTCACATATTTCATGTACTATTGTTTCAGAATGGTTTAAAGGAGCAGATATCTTTAAGTTTGAGTTTTACAATCTACCAGTGGACTATGCTTCTACTGAAGAAATACCTATTTTCAATTCCAACATATTTTGCTCTCAACTAATTTACTGTCTTGTTCAATTCTTCCTAATCCCCCATCGATAAAACATTGCTCATCTTAGAATTTCACAGGGAGTTACACTGCAGTGAGCTGGGTCATCGCTGAGTAAAGTGGGTAGAAGGAAAATGCCAATTATGATTTTAGGAAAGTACAGAGAAAACACAAAGGCATTAGCAAGCATTCATATGCCAAGTGGAACCCATGCCTTATTGTCAGCTATGTGAAGGAGGAGGATGAGAATGAAAAGAAAATGAGGAAGGAGGGGAGGAAGAGAAAGAAGAAGAGAAGGAGAGCAGGAGAAGAAGGGGGCCTTATGCATTTCTTACATTGCTTCATGCATTTTTTTCTTTGAGAGGTTAATAATTTATACACAGTCTATGAAAAGAGCCTCTTTCTTATGAAAAAAAAAGCTTTCATGTTTTGATAAAGTTATGTAATTAATATCTGTACTTCATTTATGTTTTCAGTGATATTACTGGATGATGATATTGTATATTTCTATAACCCAGAAAGCCTTTCAAATAACTACTCATTTTTCAGTTTCTAACAATGTCACCTGAGACAATTAATATTAAAAGTGGATGGAAAATGGGCAGAAGATTTGGTAATTAAATTCACAGCTGGGCATGAACAACAATTTGTGTAGCATAATTCATAAGCAAAGCCCAGGACATTTCAAATAGCAAACAGTGACACTGATGATTGATTCAGTGCTTCAGAAACTTATCTCTTAAATAAAAAGTACATGAAAAATTGAAAACAAACTGGAACCTGGCCTCAGATTGAGGTACTTTGACATTTAAGATAAAATATACAAGACTAGTCTGTATTTTAAGCAAACAAATATAAATAGTATTCCCTTATATTAGCTCAGATCCGTCACACCATCTATCCCCATCAGTTTAAATCCCTTAACAAAATGATTACATCGATGTGTAAATAGACAAGAAAAAGTACATTCTCCTCTATTTGTCAGCCATGGAATTTTAGACAGGTATTCATTTATCTTAGAAAAAATATCCAGAAAATATTTTTTTCCTTTCATCACTATGTTCCCTAGTAGTTTGGTTTAAACATTAATAAGCTGTTGTTAATTATAAATATTCATGAAGAAAAGTTAAGAAATGGGAAAATTAGCTTTCCATGCACATTCTCTAACTGGCTTTTCAGGAACACTCCTGATTGGGAATCTTTCTATTGCTCATGTGTGGGATGGTTTTCCTGTGGCATCAGGCTCTCCTTAATCTATCCCTACACTGCTCTTTTTCCCTGTGGACAGTGGGCCCGTGTGTGTGTGTGTGTGTGTGTGTGTGTGTGTGTGTGTGAGAGAGAGAGAGAGAGATTTTGATGCCCTCCAGCATCTGACTAATAGGCCCTACCCTCCACACTGAAATGCAGGTGTGGAGGGGTAGGTGTTGAAGCACTTACAATATCCCTAATATAAAGCAATAATTGACTGGCTAATATTGAGAACCAGTTACTCAGAAGTTGGGTTTTGTGTTTAGACTAGTAAACATTTACTCTTCTTGGCCCTTTATTTCTCTCATTCTTGGCATTCCCCTCCCAGTACTTTACAAGTAGATTGTTCTGTTTAATTCAGTATATATCAGTGTTATATAATTAAGTTTAAATGGCAACATTTCCTGATTTGCCTATGTAATACTCAGCAGGTATTTTTCTCATTGATGGTGCAGAAGGTCAGTGTTCAATTTAAAAACTTGTCTGATTTCAGTTTCCCAATCATATGCTTAGCTACGTCCCATATGGCAAATAAAATAATTGGTCATATTTCCTAAACTTAGAATTTTTTTTAAAGTTAGTTTCAGAAGCTTCATAGACAACCCTACTGCAGTCTTCAGCATATATTTTAATGCCCCAACTAGTATGAATTTTGGAATTCTGAACTTTATTCAATATTGATGTTCTGTTCTGTTAGAATTAAAGAAATTAGAATAAGTCACATAACTGCACTTGACTGCATGCATTATAAATTTATGTGTCAGTTATGTGCTTGAAACTACTTAGGAATCTCTTTCAAAACTCTGGCTATCACAGAATTTTTCTCTTCTCCATGTCCTCATGACCAATTGTGCTGCCCTAACTCTGCAGCTGTAAACATGTTATGTAAACTCCCTTAAATTTCTTTGCTTTATTGTCAAATTTTCCGTTTTCTTTTACTCCTAGAGTCTTGGGATTCAGTCATGTGTGCATTTTAAACCTAACTACATCAAAAACTAAGTTTGCATCCTTGGAAACAAATAATTCCTTATAGAGCACTTTAGGATTTGATGAAATAAATGTGAAATTATTAAATATATAGAAGTCCTACAAAAATGATATTGCATTTACCTTATTTTCTGTTGGCTTATTGTTATTCATATCAAATTTAGACTTCATTATCAATCATACCTTCTCTTTTCTTACACCATTAATCTCTCCTATTATACTGCCTCTTCCCTGAACAAACATGTTTCAAGAATATATATGTACATGCTTTACATATAGTTTTGCACTGTTTAAAGACTATATATATATGCTTTGCATTTAGTTCACTTCTAAAGGTGCTCTGTCAAATAATCAACCATATATCAGATCCAGAAGATTTCTTTCAGACGTCTTTTGGCACAAGCTTTCCTTGACCCTGCCCTCTTCCCCGAAGTCCACTGACCCCTTGTGACATTCTCATCTTACCCCATCAGTAAAAGTTCTTTCTGAACTCTCTCACTTGTGATTAGAAGGCAGTGTCATAATTGGAACAAATGAAATCAGGTGGAATTTGTGTGAAGCAGAAGAAAACTCAACAGGATTATAAAGAAGAAGAACTTAATGGGGAAAGGTGAAGGATGCACATGGTGAAAGGAATGGGATATGCAGTTGTGTGAAGAAGGCAGAGTTGGTAAACTCCAACTTCTTAGGCCAGAAAACTGAATCTTGTTATTGACTTTTTTCATAGAATGCATATTGTTCTGTAACTTATGATAATGACCTATAAAAGACCACACATGTATTAAAAGAAAACTTAACATTTTATATGAGATTTTGGTAAAATACATTCTAAGAAATGTTTGTAAAACCCCAAAGAGCTCATACACAACTTAATGGTAAGTTACCTAAAAATCTAGTTGTTTGTAGTATTTTTGCCTACTCTTACTCTAAGAAAATATTTGATTTTTAATTATTTATTTACACAGTTTACACGGGTTTTATATATATATATATATATATATATATATATATATATATGCTTAATCCAACATGTATGATATAGCTAGATTCAAATAGAAAAAAACTGTTAACATAATTTTCCCAAATTAATTTTATTAGTTGTATGATATTATTTAGGAAAACTGTCTTTAGGCTATACATCAGTAGAATGACCTTTAGGAAAGACATTTCTCCCGTCCACTAAGCCCAGTGTGTGAGACTGCTTAAAGTATACTCTTTCTCCCAGAAATAGTGTTAGTTTGGTTTAACAGAGTCAAGCAAAAACCCTATTTGTATTTCTCAGAAATAATTATTCTCAGATGGCACAGTCGCTGTTTTCTCAGTGTTTTGCTATGTAGTAAATGGTTTATATTTTCATAAAGTTGCTAGAATATCTACCAGTGTGTATACATACTCTTTCCATACACATAGAATATAGTTTTTTAAAAAGTTTTCCTGGGCTCTCATTTACTACTCTGCTTTAGCAGAGGAGGAAACAGAAGCAGAAAGGTTTGGGATGATGTAGAGCTAGCCTCCATAGCAGTATAACATTTGGCAGTGAGATAG